GTTCCCCTGCTCGCAGCAGGATGAGTCCAACAGCGGACGAACACGGACCTGCTCAGGAGTGTTAGGTACGTCGCCGATGCTTTGTCAGCAGTGGGCGTACCTAACTGGGATCCTCCTGACCGCAGATGGGTATATAGGTGCAGCCGCGAGGGACAGGGGCTGCACGCCTCGTCCCGTCTGACCTCCATCTGCGTTAGGTTCGTGCTAGCATTTCTGTCATGCCTCGCCAGGTCTGACCTCCATCTGCGTTAGGCTTCGAGTCCATTTTCTTGCGCTTTCCCTCCCGTTCCCGCCCTATGTTTCTTGCTGTTCTGTGTTTTCTGTATCGTTGCGCCATACACGGAAAGCGTCCCGCTCGCTGCGGAATCGAATTAGGCCGTCGTCGCCTCGCGACGGCGGCCGTTTATGCGGTATTCTCATAGCCCTGCTATCACTCTGAACCTTTGACTCGAAAAGTCGCACCTCAGCGGAGGAGCTGATTCGATGGTATTTACACGAAACAAGCGGCGCCTTCCTCCCATAGCAAAGGCATCGCCTTCGCGATGGCCTGCCGTTCGGCCTCGGGGATGCCTTGCCCAAGCGCATCCCCGAACTCTATGTGGCGCAGACCTTGCCTGACTCGCCCGACGAGTACGTTGTACATCTTCTCCCATCCTTCTTGCATCGGGTACGCCCTCCAGTCCCACCACTCGCGTAGGAAGGGGCTGTAGTACGGGTCCAGCGAGAAGTAGTGCAGCTTGAGGCGGAATGTGCGAATGTGCGGCGGGAGCACGGAGAATAGGCTTGTGACAAAGGAATATGCGGGCTCGTAGAAACGTACGCCGCCGTACAGTCCGTCACGCGCGGTATGTGCGGCGACGGGGCGGGCCTCCGACACGCCGAACACCGGCAGGACGACTGTGAAGGTGTCTAGGAGCGGGAAGGCTCCGAGGTCGAGCTCGCGGAGGTAGGAATAGTCTGTCTCAGCGGGCGGCCAACCGATCGAGGCGATGTGCACTTGCAGCTCGAGGTGGCGTAGGGTCGCGCGGACGTCGTCGAGGACTTTGCGGCACACCCCGATGCGCTCGCGGGTCAGGACAGGCAGCTGGAGGCTTTCGAGGCCGGTCACAGGCATTGAAGACGCCAGACTTTGCAGCGTGTTTGTGCTCTCGAGGGTGAGGGAACGCACGCGCGGGAAGGACGGTGGGGGAAGAAGAGACGAGACATTGTCGCTGTGGAACTCGACCGACGTGCCGAGCACGAGGTGTTCTATCTCTTCGAACAGAGTCAAAAAGCGCGCGACACCCGACGGGCAGTCCTCCGTCGGCGCTCTATACCACCCGCCGATCTTGAGCATGGGGAGGCACGCAACAGCGGGCACGTCACCGCCCAACTGCATTTCGGCCCCCGTCAGACGGCATTCCAGGGGAAACTTGTCAACCTCCAGCACGCGCAAGCGAGGCAGACATTGCAGGGTCATGGCCAAGGTTTGGAGCGTGGAGCGTGCTCTAGGATCACTGCTGAAAGCATCGCTCTCGCGCAACTTAAGCGTGAGCTTTGAGACATACGTGCAGACGTGTGGCGATGCGCTGAAGAAGCCCAGGAGGTCCTCTAGCGGAGGCGACTGCTGCTGCTGCTGCTCATTGATGTCCGCTGGGTGCGAGCCGTACGCGATCGACTCGAAGAGGAATGGCTGCGAAAGCGCGAGCCAGTTGCGGCACACGAGCGTGCTCTTCTCAAGGGTAGGTTTGTCCATGACGCGCATTATCATGAGTGTAAGTTCGGGGGGCAGTTCATAGTTGCTCTGATCCTGGTTTGCCTCCATTGTTGCCTACGATACCTTGTGGTTAGCCAAGAAAGTCGGCTGAGCGGGTGACTCACTCGAAGCGAGGGAAATAATGTGCAAGGGCCACTGATGAGAAACCAGGGGGTCGAACAGAGGAAGATAGGGGGCTCAGAACAGGGGGAGTGCACCAATATATCTGAAAAATGCGTGGCATTAGTTAAGTGACCGAACCGAGTTACCAAACTTCGTACACCATGTAAAGCGTGCATGTCGTTATCCTGCACCTCGCTAGCAGGTGATTTGGAACCGGAAAAGACACATCCCCGTACTGTTGTTGAAACGGCGCTGGAGCTCTTGTGTGGTGTTCCACACTTACACTTTGGTACAAGTCCAGTGGGTATCCGAGACATCCATGCTCGACACACAGAAGGGTTGCAGGGTCAGCTGGATACCAGACACGTAAAAGTCTGAAGGAGGGAGACGAAACAGAACGTGCAGATCAAGGTGAGGCACAAATACGAGCAACAAAACTAACTATTCACAAATTACGCAATCATGTAAATACTACAGGAATGGGAAACTGAATTTCTAGAGAATCGGAGGAACGTCGCGTACACACCATGTAATAAAGACGAACCGATTATGCGCCTGCCCCCCGCCGCGCCCCCCTGCGTATCATCCCTACGCGAGGGGCCAGAAGCGCCATCACGCCACAGGTCCACTGCGTATTTGATTGATAAGGCTCTCCCAATAGCTCCAGTCCAAACCGTCTGCGTCGGACGGTAGGGGGTTCCCGCCAGGGCCGACGACGCTCCCCGAGGGCCCGCTCCCCGTGGCCCCAACCCAGTCCCCGACGCCCGACGTCGACCACGGGATGCTCTGCGTGCCAGACATGCCATCGACGGTCGGCGCGCCGGTAAAAACGTTGCACCACTGGTCGAGAAGCGATTGAGCTGCCGTCTCGTCCTCGTGGCCCGGGCTCGCGGAGCCTGAATGTGACGTGCTGTCCGAGCGCTGGATGTGTTGCACCGCGGGGTGCGCCGCGCTGTACGGCGACGTCGGGTACGACGGGATCGTTGGCGAGGTGCCGTTCGCGAACTGTGGGCCAGCCACATGCGAGGCGCCGATCGGATAGCCGCGCGGTGATGATAGCTGAAGCAGCAGCTGTGCCTCGTTGTGTGGGCGGTCGTTCATCTGCTGAGGCGACGCGGTAAGAGAAACAGGGGCATCGTCGGGCCTTGGCGAGCCCTTCGCAATGAGCTGCGCTTTGGTCCTGAGGAACTGGATGATCTTCAGTTCCCGCTTCGTGGTGTTGTCCTGATCGCGGTCGTGATCGTCGATGAAGGCGTCCAAAACCATGTGCATCATCTCCGCGTCCTTGCCCTTCGGGTACAAGACCAAGTAGATTCCGCTAATCATCGCGGCTTGGAACTCGCGATACGCGCTGGTGACAGGGTCGCGGACGTCCTTGATACCACTGGTCGTCAAGAACTTACGACGGAACTGGTAGTCCTTCATTGCACAATCGAAGCAGGCCTGTCGCGACCGCAAGTACTTGTCTGAGCCGAGCCGACGGAGGAGATACGGTCGATGTAGGGTAATTCGTACGAAGAGGACTTCCGTCACAAGTAGGAAGCGATGTGCAGGGATGTAATAGTGGCTTTCGTCCAAAGAAGTGTCGGGGTCGAAACTGTAGTGCGGTGGCAAAGAGGTAATGAATTTCACAAGCTCGTCGTCAAGCTGCAAAACCTCGGCGTAGTGTCTGGGACCGTTGACTCTCTGAAAGTGATGCACCATGCGACCCATGATGCCAGAGAGAGTATGCCGGAGCACGATGTAGGTCATCTGCGTCGGCTGGTTCAGCGGAAACGGGCCTCTGGTGATCACGTTATTCTCGTCGTCCACGTTAGCAGGGGGTAGCGTGGAGGTGTACTCGTCCTGGATAGCCATCGGGCGACCTAGAACAAGCGCATATGACCGGTCCGCATGGTACAAGTAAGACCTACGAAACTGTTACCAAGTCGAGGTTTACGTATTGTCAGCAGCACGTACCATACTCTGCGCCGGTGTTCCACTTGATATGGATTTAACCGCTGAAGAAGATTATCAGATAAGACAAATTTTCAATAGACGTGATGCTTACCAGGCCGCCGCAGTCGCGATGCAGACCCAAAGCCTGCGCAGTCCGCACAGCCGCGCCGAGCTGACTCCAGCATTCAGTCATCTTGCGATCGAACAGCAAGAATCGAGCGCTCTGCAGGTACCAATGAGCGTCAGGACTCGGCAAAAACATTGCGAAGCGTGTGTGACTCACCAACAGGCGCGTCAACACTAGCTCCAAACAGTCTGTATGAATGGCTGCAGCTATTAGCAGCGACCGCCGCGCTGAGGTATGCCGTCAGCCTGCATGCGTGTATATGAAACGTGCTGGAACTTACAACACCAGTAATAGCGCGACGACGTTAGTCGGCGCGTCCTTGCGTCACCTGCTAACTGCTCGGGAGCCAATCGCACCGAGATAGCCAGAATCACGAAAAGAAGAGGAAGAAATCGGAACTCGTTGGGGTTGATTGCGGCGCCCTCGTTGTATAACGAGTTACAACCTGCACGGAAGTTCTTCTCGGAAACCGGATATCGCGTCCAGTTGCTAAGATATATGACAAGTCAGCGGTCGAGCCGGGGAGGAATCAGAGTCGTCAGACCTTGCGCTAAAGTAGAGGTCTACAAGCTTCTCAGCCAGCGAGCGGGGTGGCAATTCGTGCAATAACTCGGAGATCTTGTGGGGGGCAACACCGCATTCTTGTACGAGCGCTTTGAGATTCTCGGCGGGTGTGGGGATCGCGGAAGCAAGCAGAGTCTTCGTGTCTTCTTGGAAGATATCTGGAGGGAGCTGGTCGATGGAGAGCGACTTGCCGTGATTCTCGGGCTCGTTAGTGTGAGGCGACTCGACCATATGTTGAAGCTGACATGGTAGTGTTTAGTCAACCCGCATACAACAATCGTTCAGAGACGCACCCTTTCTAACATCGCCGGAGCAGCTACGCTCCCAGACGCAGCAGTCCCAAACCAGCTACCACTGTCGTAGATGCCTGCAGCCATATCCTCCTCGTCCGCTTGCGAGTTTCTGTCATCATCAGCAGTTTGTGCATCGACACTGTTGGCATCATATCCGGATTGGCTCGCGTTCCAGTGCTGGGGAAGAGCAGCTTGGATGACTTGCTCGACGCGTGATAGCCGGGCAGCGAGGTCTTGGTCGGACTTCCCGGGAGTATACGGCTGGCAAAGTTCAGGAACTTTACGGGCAATACACTGTGGAGAAGGAGGAGTCAGGACCGGATCGACACGAGTTGTCGAGCGGAATAGGAGGAGAAGTCACTTTGAGACGGGGCGGCTAATGACATGATCCCGAGTGCCGGAGGCGCGCACCATGATATTCTTCGACCGCGTCTCAAAGTGCGCAAGCTATTCATCCGCAAGTACAGTTTAAAGAGGATGGATTTACATGTGAGCATGGTACTTGTCGGTCGCACTACATGAGGAAAGCGTTAGTCACAGGGCATACAAGATAGGCAGTGAAAGAAATCACCTTCTGTTTTCTGCGATGACACTCCCCGCACGAGTAGCTGTAGAAACGATGTCAAAAAATCAGCTCTAGTCTCTGGTGATATAAGATTGAGATAATGATTGGCGCGAGGGGCTATGGCATGAGCCTGGCGTGCGAGGTTCAGCGGCATGATATCGCTGCTTTTCGCATCGTAGTTGCTTGGACGGATGGAGATCAGACCATCTGGGACCGCGAGAGATCACTACGTGTGTGACAATTGTCCTTCTAGCGCCACGATCTCGCTGGCATTGACCGCCTTAAGGGGGGCAGTAGGACTAAGTCCTGAGTCATCGGATATGGGCTCGGCGTTCGTAGAGAGCGTCTTTACTGAGGAAAAACTGTTAGGATATGTGAAGGAATGAGAAAAGTCTGCATTAGTGTACTCACTTTGCTCCAGCAGATCATCCATGCGATGCGCCATCCCACCCAGGCGAATGCGGCCCCTCAAAGCGAGATAGCAGAACACGCAAAGATACACACCTGACGCGCGTCCTTGCCTTCTTGGAGGCACGACCATTGCTGGTCTCATCCTCCTCAATCTTTCTCCTCGCGCCGACGTGGGCAGCCTCAGGAGTGGACTGCGGGGATGTGTGCGGAGTCGGTTTGACCATGGTGGCGGTATCAGCAGCTGGGATGGGTCAGAGAGGTCGCATCAACAAGGAGGGATATAGGCGGATGAGACGAGGAGCGTAGGGATATTTTAAATAGCTTTAAGCAGAGATGAAGGGAGACGGAAAGAGTCAGACCCAGCGACTCTCATGGCGGCCAAATTCAAGGTGAGGAAGTCCTGCATAGGCGCTGACCAATCGGATTCTCCCATTACGTAAGCGCCGATTCTGGCGCCCGCTGCCATTCTTCGTCCCGATGCCGTTGCTGCTATGTCCGATATCCTTGCTCCTGTCCAGTACACGCTGTTCGCTACCATTTTGCAATGTCCGAATTCTGTTGCATACTGACCCGAATGTTGCGAACATCGCTACTGCTCAGCGCTTGCTCTGCTCGCCGGTGACTAGTTGGACCGATCCGACGCAGTGGGACGCAGGAAACTAGAGCGGAATAAGACGAGACCTCCGGGGTCAACGCTGTTCAGTAAGTCGACATATGCGCCGCTTATATCATCACGCACCCTTTCGGTGGTCTTCATACTCCACATTCATAATCAGTTTTGAATATCCGCAACGAGGGCGGCGCAGCATGTACTATCGCTAGTAAGATGAACAACTTCATTTGAGGGGCGCATGTCTGAATTTATATCGCGGACGACTGCTATTCCAAGCTATCTTCCAAGCTCGTAGGGTCTATGAACGCCGGGTGCCTTGCGTATTAATGCATGGTCGCCCTTAAGTCGCTCGAATGCCACGGGCCTATCACTGCCACATCTGGTACGTCACCACATCTTCGCACTCGGGGAGAAAGCATACCGTCCTGTGTTCATGTGCCTTCTCGCCGCTGCCTCGCCGCAACCGCGCACCTGCCTCGACCTTCTGCGAGCCCCAGAGCCGGAGCAAGCCGGTCATACTGGTCATTCTTCTCGGGCTCTAGACTTTAAAATTGAAGGTCTCAAAGCAAGGAATTCCGACTGGGTTCCATCGGGTCGTATCCCTTTCAGATTTTCAGCGTGCGGATGTTGCCGAGAGGCAGGTACTAGCGAACGGTCGCTGGCAGACTTAAGGCCTCGACGAGTCTTTATACCAGTCTTGTGCAGACGTGAACCGCTGCGTTTACTGTCAGGTGGCCATTGATGTCTATTCTGTAGATCTTTCGTGGTAGCACTACCCCACTCAGAATGAAGCTTGTCTTGGAGCTGGTCCGCTTGCACAGCAGGTCTGATAATTACGGAACATATTGTGTCCTGCCTCCAGGACGACGGCGGCGCGGGAGCAGTCGTCATCGCGTGCCCCGTGTATCGTACTCGCCACTAACGGTCGCGTTTCACCATAGTTCTGGCTCGCCGTCATGTTCGCTAAATGGGATCGGCTCAAAGGAAAAGATCTATCAGGGGGATATAACGTGGTCTTAGATACTTTGAAAATATTTTAATCTACTCTGACTGTGATTCTGAGACGACATGAACAGCTGTACGGAGCTGTATAGTGTCTCGCTCGGTGGTACGAAAGGCGCATTGATGCGCCATCAATCGCGACGCCGCACAAGCGCTGTGCGAGAAGTCCAGGTTTCATCACTGTCACCAGCATCGTCCTCGTGTCATCCCTACGCTGAACGCTTCTCCCGCGAACATATGCACCATTAAGTCTCGTGCATTTTCGGAGCTAGAGCCTCGCCTCGCGTCTGCTTTGTACCGGCCACTTCCGTCAACACGACACCGCTTTACCAGATACGCCATGGAGGAACCAGAGTGGAAGAAGCTGGAGCTCTCACTCGAGCAGCCTTACAAGGACGACGAGGGGAAGCTTATCCCGATTCTCTTGGACATCACCTCTGAAGGCCAGCAGGTCTTCGAACCGTGAGTGTAGTTACGATCTCTCATCGGTCTTGCAGCTGAGCGTGCGCGGCGCGTCACAGTCCGGAAGATCCAATCTCGAAGATTGGCGAAAACCTAAGGCGCATATTCCTGGAGCGCGGCGTGGACTTTTTTGAAAGATATCATAATGGCATTGAAGCCGCCAAGGACGAGGCCAGCGAGGAGAAGCCGAAGGACGAGGCGGGCGACGTGCAGATACAGCCCATGACACCGGAGGAGCTCTTCAGGATGCGCATGGACATCATGCCTCAGCTACAGTGAGTATAAGGCTGTCATTTATCGAGGACCTGAGAAAGATTCACTAAGTCCAGTACAGCCCTTGGTGAGATGAGCCAGGCCAGAGACCTCTTGTCTCTTCTACTTGCCACAGCTCCTCCGCCGCAAATCCCAGGCATACCACAGCCCACTGCACCACCTCAAAAACCATCGACGCTGAACGCTAGCATTGTCTCAAAGCCACCGTCCATCCAGTCTGTACAGGCGTTCAACACCCAGCTGGTCATTGGGGGCAAGGACCTCGCACTACGGAAAGCTGCAGATTTACTCAAGATCGCCGCGGGGAGTGTGGAAAAGAGCCGCAGCCTCAGCGAGCGGTATTGGCTCGACGCGTTGAAGATCCGGAGGGGAAATTGGGGGCTCATACCGGCACCGCTCCCGTTTGGGACCGCGACAGGAAGGGGTACAGACAAGACGTCCAAGGACTTCCTTGTCTCGTTCAGCTTGGAAGAATGTGAGTTATATTTGAAATTCTTGAGTCTTCTCTGACACCTGCCCAAGCCTCTGTTGTGTTCCGAAGAAGGGCTATAGGTCGGCTACCAACATTCGACAGCAAGCCCGGCACATTGGAGTACCCATTGAGACAGTACACGCGTTTGCAAGTGTCTATCATTCTTACAATAGACGGCTCACGTCGAATAACAAAGAACACCCCTCGACTGTTCGACGAGGCGCAGCTGGAAGAATCGCTACGCGCTGCGCAAGCCGAAGTCGTCCAACAAGAAATATTTGCCGCTTTGATACGAGAAGCCAGCAATCTCCCAACGGCATCTGCACGGGTCTCAGAACGGCTTATCGCGATAGAGGCCGCACAAGCAACAGAATTAAGATTTGAATTAGTGCGTCTGGTCTTCCATCTTCCACCCAGAACCCGCCACTGATAGATCTGGCAGGTCGATAGCGAAAACGTCGCGAACGAGCGGGAGGGCACGAGCGCTCAAGACGCCGTCTGTGACCTGATTTTTGCTACGCTACACGTCCTGCTTCTTCGCGCCCACAACTTCATCAAACAGCACCGCATCGGACGCACGAATGCGCTGCGCAACGCCCCACCACAGCAGCAGCAGCAGCCCGTGAACCCCCCACCACTTTTGCTGCCGATCGTCGAGCTGCTGCAGTACCGCGTCTTCTGCGACCGCGTGCATGTCGAGGTCGGCAAAATGGCCGACGGTCTCGCGGCGGCGGGTGTGCCCGTGAGGCTGCGTGCGAACAGGGTCGGCGAGAATGGCGAGCAGCTCGTCGCGATGCTCACAAAGACGGACGGGCCGCAGACACTCGGCGGCGAGACGCACTTGCGCATCGATCACCGGTGAGGCTGTCGTCCTGCACTTGCTGGTTACGAACGGCGAAAGCTGATTCTGATACGACTGACAGGCACACGCTGCGCTTCACCTACGTATCGCCGTCCTCGCTTACGGCGCACCTTCCGCAGGCGACGCTCACTGTCGCGTCCATCACGCATCTGACGCAGCTACTCTTCGACGAGGTGAGCCGGTGTCTGCTGGGCCGCATATGCGACGTTGGATCAGAGATGTGCGAGGTCGTGCATGGGACGTGGTTCGTCGACCTGCTCGCAGGCAGGACGGTTGGGCGCTGGGAAGGACGTGTCTTGTAAGTTATTCCCTTTCTCGTTTGCGTGCTACCACGTTGGCTCAATCTCCTGCTAGGACCTTTCAGGTTACATTTGCGGAGAACTCTGGTGTAGTCTGTACGGCGACCAAATTAGAGAGCTCGGAACGGCGGCCGGCGGCCTTGGTCGATCGGTACACTGTCGCCGGAAAGGCTGGTGAGAGCCTGCTAGACTGGGTGCGACGGACTGTCGACGCGGCTTTGTCTGGGCCGTAGCATACGCCTTATAAAACCCTAGCTTCCCATATGGGACATTTTGTGCTGCAATACAGACAAACGCTGCATTTTCAACTGCGGGAAGTGGGTGAGATGGAATGGCTGAAACTCCCATCAGGGTATAGATCAGTTCTGTCAAGACAGGCGCTCCGGGGCAAGCCGTATATAGCCGGACGGTGTACTCTTTCTTCAACGGTCATCTCCAACACTGCGGGGGCTGTTTCAGAGGCGCACACACCCAGAAAGATGCTCCGTTTTCATTCTGATACAGAATGGATCGACATAGGAGACGAGCAGTAAGTCAAAGAATTCCAAACACTTCTGAAACTCGCTCACCATGAATGACAGAATCGAGGACGTGGGTGGTCCAAGCAGCTTTCCCCAGGCTCGGCAACTACCAGTGGAACTCATCACTCTCATACTGCGTGAAGCGGACAAGCTATCGCTTGCAGCGTGCACGCTTGTATGCCGCGACTGGCTTGAGCTCTCAAGACCGTGTCTATTTGAGTCCGTCACCTTCGCTACGCTCCGCCTGCGCGAATTGCAGTGGCGTGAAGACGCACCCTGTCGCCTCAAGCGCTTTTTGGACTTCTTATCGTCAAAGCCGGAAATCCGCGTGCTTATTCGTCACTTAGTCTTCAATGTTGAGAATAGGCTCTGGAATTTTGCGCTCCATGCTCATGCGATGCTGCCGGGGCGATTTAGGCCGACCTCGTACTCGTGGCAAACGTTGATCGAGCTTCTGTGCCAACTCCCTCGACTGCGCACACTCGAGCTGAAAAACTTTCTCCTTGAGCCTCTTGGTCCGGTATTCGACACGGATCCGCTGTGCACTGCACCAGTCATTGAGCATCTCGAGGCTCTCAAGTTCACGAGACACTGCCGCACACAAGACGGCATCGGATGCTTCGGCGACGTACTGCATCTGCTCAGCATCTTCAAACGCATCGACCATCTTGACTTCGGCGCGTTCACCTCTCCCCCGACCGGCCACCCATCGCTCGCGTCCCGTATCACGACGCAGGTCCGCTCCCTCACCATTCCTCCCTATGCATCGAGGCTCTTGCGGAGTATACCGCTGCTCGCGACGTGGTCGAACCTCGAATGTCTCGCCCTACCACTGCTCCCACTCGAGGACGTCGCATACGGGCTGCGCTTGCTGAACCTCGCGCGCGCAAGCTTGCGCCACGTTGCGTTGCATGTCCCGCGCATTGACGAGAAGGGCCCAACTGTGCGGTGCTTGCACGAGCTCGCGCTTGCGACCTGTCCACGCCTCGAGTCCGTCTCTATTGCCGTGCCGTTCTACGGTGCGGCGAACCTGCTAGTGGCCCCGGGCGCCGTCGCGATCGGGCGCCCGTACTTTGGCGCGTCTGCATACGCGTTTATCACGGGCTTCCTTGCGTCGTGCCCACCGGCGCTGCGGCGTGTCACATTCGACCTTCAGCTTGACCTCACGCCGGTCGAGACGCATCAGCATATCCAACTGGAGATGCTACAGACGGACTGGAGTACCCTGGACGACGTGCTTGCGCGCTGCGCTAACAGAGGCCTGACGAGTGTGCAATTCTGCCATGACCCGAGGGAACTTTCTGAGTTGTCTAGCAGTATACAACAATATTTTGCGAAAAGGATGCCTTGTTTATGGAGGACGGACGTGGCGCGTTTCGTATAGCATACCACGTTTAGACACTGAACCTCCACAGTAATTTTACGTCAATGTTGCAGGATCGAAGCTGGTAATCAGTCATATTGCCCTGGCGATGATCGTATTCATACAAGTGCTACTAATCAAATCCAGCTCTAGAAGAAGATTGCAACCCCAGAGATAATGACTTCGTTGCATCAAAATGTGTCCTTATTCTAACCGAGCGCATCATACTATACAGCTTTACACGGCCTACTTTCCGCCCCCCCCCCCCCCCCCCCGCCTGGTCTAATACAGCAATCGCAGCACCTCTCTTGCCAAAAGTTTAGGCAACACTCCCATAAACCGCTGCCTGTCGCGTTCGGAAAATACGTGCCCCGGGCCGGCGTGGATCTCGAGGTCGCGGATTCCCTTGCGCACGCATGCCTCTTCGAGCTCCTCTAGATACCGGAAATCTCGCAGAAAAGACCCTGTCCGATGAACATAGAATGGTGTGCCATACAGGAATAACTCCAAGACGACGGTCTGCAGGGACGACGACGACGTTGCGATCGCGCGCACGATAGAAGTGTATGTGTCTCGATAGATGCCTATTCCGTCGGACGTCGACTGTCCAGGCACTTGGTCGATCGAGGTGTCGCGCCACAATGGCAGTGGGAGCACCATGGACTCGAGAGACGGTAGCGAGCGCCCTTCCAAGTTGCCTGGAAAGTAGTAAACGGAGGCGACCCTTCTGAACAAGTACGGGCGTGTGAGCTCAAGCCAGTCTCGAGAGACTAATGCACAGGCGGAGAGGGAGGGTTTATCGAGGTCTTTGAGTATGTGATGAATGGGTTCTGGCGGAAGTCGAGGGGAATGAGCAGGCCGGTGCATGCCGTCGATTCCAGAAAGTTGATTTTACGCAGAATGGTTTATTAATTCAAGTTTTCGGCCATAAATTGACGATTATAGCGGATACCTTGCCTTGATACTGTATGAAAACGTTCCGGGAGTCCGAGCTGGCTAAGAGACTTGGAGAACGTCCAGGAGTTGGGAATTCTGTGCCGTCTAGGGCGTCTATGCTGTCCGCTCTGTCCATGCCGCCCATATAAGCACTCAGTCACATGTCACAGGCCTCAGACCTAGGATGGCGATCGAGCACGCTGTACGGCCATGCCTCACGCTGCGCACAACAAGAGAGACATAGAATGCCTGAGTTTATTAACCTGTAGTTAGAGTGCCTTAATGGGCTGACAGGCGTATCATGGAGTCGCTGGCTCCCTTTCTGCGGTAAACTAAGTGCTCTGCTTTTGATACTCATTTATTGGATCAGAAGCTAGCACTAAAATCTAAATAAAATTTATAATATACCAAGAACATATATATGTTGCGTGTGAAGTGTTTTTTATGACATATCGCGACAGGGCTAGACATTGTAATCAGATAAATGCTCGTCTCATATGGGTAAAATAGGCGCCTAAGCTAGAGTCCGGCGTTTTCTGCAACGCAGGACGGAATCTTGAAAATGAAGTAAGCTGGAGAGATGATATAGACTGCATAGAGCCTGTGAGAGCACATGGATGCTATAGACAGCAGAGACAGAGTGAACAAGACGCGTGAGCGAAGCGGAACTTTGGTCGTGACGGAGTGTCACGAGATGTAACACACCAGTCTGACGCGCGCATTACAAGACGTCACGTCTGACCTAACACGGAAGGTGCGGAGAGCGCCGACAACATAGACGGCACAGAAATCCCAACCCCGGGACCCTCTGGAGACTTTAACCCCTTCTTGGTCCGGAGGACACCATTGCCACCCTCATGCGAGTGAAACATTCTTGGGCAGCATTTCCCACGCTGCAGTTTCGAAGCCGCCTGGATGTGGTCCGATGTACTTAGAACCGATGGTACTGCACCATGGGTTTTATTCGCACGAGTATTACCATCCAATATTAAGTTTAAAAGACAGCTAGAACTCTAGAGACGGCGACCTCAAATGGCAGATCCTTGATTAAAATAAGTACTACGTTGAACACAGTTCTGCAACCTCATTTTCACCCTCTATAGAGCCTATAACAATTGCAATACCCCTCGCTCTGAAAGAATAGGTAGTGCTGTCTTGAACTGCAGCCTGTCGTGCTCAGAAAATACATGTCCCGGACCTGCTCGAATTTCGAACGTGGGGAGCGCCTTGTGCACACACACGTCCTCAAGCTCCTCCAAATCCTGAGCACCCCGCAGAGGAAACTCTACCCAATGGCACGACGGGTCATACAGGAAAAGTTCGACAACGACGGTCTGCAGAGATGAAGGGGGCGACGTTGCGATCGCGCGCACGACAGAAGTGTACGCCGTGTGATGAATGCCGGTGATACCAGAGCGCCGACTGGGTCTTTGGTCAGTCGAGTTGCCACACCATGCTGGCAGTGGAAATACCAAGGACCGGAGAGACCTCAGGGGCGAGAAGTCGATGAAATCGAGGTCAGAGAATTTGGGGACAACGGGGTTGATGATGAACTGGAGGGTTTGAAGGCTCTCGTGGTTCCTGTTGAGGAATCGCCGCACGCACCCGGACACGGGCCTATGTGCGTCCTGGTCTACGACATGAAGTTTTAGGACGCGAATATTCTCAAGGCCAGGGATGGGCGTGGGCCCGGATAACACGAATGCGTCGCTGAGCTCCAATGAATGGATTTGTGGGCAGGGAAGGGAGTGTTCGGGTTGCCACCATTCCCACTCGCTTAGGAGGGTGTTGCAGCCTATACGGCTACCAAATACCAGTGACTGCACTGCGCCGAAAAGGCATAGCACATATGGAATATCACCGAGCTGGGTCGCATACATATCTCCCCTGTAACCAGAGTGGACAATTTTCAATACCCCCAAGTGTGGAATGACAGGGAGGCTGACTGCGTTTCGAGGATTTTTATATATGGGATCAAATGGTATGCCGGCGAGTTTGAGCGATTGCAGGTGGGGAAAGCACCGCAAGATTCGAACGAAGATGTCAAGACCGTCGCGAGTCGTTCCGGAGCCTGCCATCAAGAGTTCTAAATTGTAGACCATTGAGGAAAGGACGGCCTGCGACTCGAAAAAGTACGCAAGGGGTAGGAGAGGCGAGGGATGTTCAGGATGCGGCCAGTTTGATGGATTGCGCTCGAAATGGTAGCTGTAGGTGATCGTTCTGAACAAGAGTGGGCGCGCGAGCTCAAACCAGTATTGAGAGACCAGTGCACAAGCAGACAAGGTGGGCTTGTCTGAGTGGAGATTTCTGATCACGCCGGGGATAAGCTCTGGCGGTACACGAGGGGAAGGAACATCCCGGTGCATGCTGTGTAGGATAAGTTCCTGTTGATTGCCTCATAGAAATGCATGCTGATCTCGGATACGTACCTTGGTGTTACGGTGAGGCCGAGCTGGCGAAGGCTCTTAGAGAGAGGTGAAGAAACTTGAGCCTCCTTGCCGACTTTTCAAGATGTAGAGGTCCTCTCTTGGTCCGTCGCTGACAATGAGGCGCTCCGAACCGCCGGTAAAGCGTCCGCCAAGCGAAGCGCATCAGTTCCATGCAACCCGGTTCCGCCTGGGGCAAGAGAGCTTTCGAGATGAGGGATCAGGCCCGGGAGCAAAACTGGGCTTCGGCGAGGCGCGTCACTCCTTCCCTCGCCCGCTGTCTTCAAATGCTGGATGCGTAAGAGGCAATACAGTTGTTAATAGAACTTCACTTGAACCTGAAAAGTAAATAAATAAATAAAAATAAGAAAGGCCATGCTTGTTTCGTTGCCAAGGCCGGGAACAATCTGAAGGCAGTCGAGCGCTTCACTGAGATCTCAGACAGCAGTTGACTGGGAGGAAGCATGCGCACATGCATGCTCCCCAGCTTCATTGACTTTCCCCTACTGCCGCACTTCAAGCGGAAGCACATAAATCCGCCTCCACGTCAAATATTGCACGTACATAGTGAAAAATAGGAGTTTGAACTCGTAGCGTCGCTCATATCGTCATTCAAGTGGCTCGGATTTAAGTAGGGAGAGGAGTAGCTCAGAATAAAAGCTGTACATGCTTCGATATGGCGGCCCGTTTGCACAAAAATTGGCGGTGGCATCAGAGGGATCTCGTGACAAGATGGCGCTCTGGGATGTCCCTTCTAGGTCGCGTGTGCAGCTTGACTCGGAGAGCGGGCTGTACCTTCGATTTGCGTCCTGGTCCTCTAATTTCGAGGACACCTTCATGTGGAGCAGTGTCTTGAGCTACGCGCCGCACTGCTTCGGCGGCCAGTCTTCATCGGCGATGTTCTCGTGCGATAGCCGTTACCTGCTCATACAGGGTGCCCTCCGACTCGAAAGCCCTGGAGAGCATCCTACTTGTCTCTGGGATGTCGCGACAGTCAAGCTCATTCGCAAGTTTGTCGGACACAGCGACTCCGTCATCTCCGTCGCTTTCTCGCTGGATGGCAGATTTATCGCCACGAGCTCCTTGGATCACACGGTCATCATCTAGGACGCCGCCTCCGGAGCACCTCTGGTGACATGTAGGGGACATGAGTCACAACGTGGGCGACTTCACTCTGTTGCCTTCTCTCCAAGCAGAGAGCATGTTGTGTCTGGAGACGATGATGGATACCTCCTAGTGTGGAATGCAGAGAGAGGGGAGTTGCTCCAGGAGTTCAAGGGGCACGATGCTGAAGTATCGTCGGTCGCCTTTGTCCCCGCTGGAGACGTCATTATTTCCTCTTCAAGTTTGTTCGCCTATGACACAACCACGCGACTCTGGGACATCACATCTGGCACTTGTCTCCTTGGCCTTGACAGAGATACCTGGTACCGCGCCCTACACCTGTCCCCCGACGGCTCCGGAGTCTTTGTCGGCAATGATACACGACTTGTTCAGCTATGGATCCCTGTCGATGCGGACGCGCAGGCGACAACACTGCTTCCTTGGCTTCCGCGTCGCACCTGGCCTATATACTACATCGAGGACGGCTGGGTCTTCTCTTTGACGCCGTCCCGGCGGACGCGGTTGTGTTGGGTTCCGCCAGACTGGCGGGGTTTTGCTGGATACTTCGGGCAGGACGTGGTGTTCAAGAATAGGCATCAACTGAATTTCTCAGGACTGAGTACATAGATACTTAGAGAGCTTGTACAATGATCGCGCGTAATAGTGTGTACTCATGACGCTATACGCTGATAGGGTATGCTGCTGGTAGTATGGGGTCGCATCTTCTCTAAATCAAATGCATCATCGGCCCTAATATCTGTGAGAAGCGCAAGTTGCTTCGAAAGCTGGATGGACGTACGAGGTTTTGCCGGACATAATAAAGTCGCATAAACTTGAATGACAGGAGACCGTTTGTCACGCTAAGCGTCGCACGACACCATGTGGTCCCCGAGATTTGATTGTTTTTCTTCCCGTATACTTCCTGCCCCCGCTCGTGGACACTCGGAAGCCGATCGAGGCTCGAGATTGACATCACGCGCATCCAATCGCCTTCCAACGTGTACCGTGCGATCTCCCAACAGTGTTCTTCCCGCTGTGCCTGTACTTTGAGCCTTCGATTGCTCTACGGACGACTATCATCGCCCTAGAGAGTGCTCATCTCAGCCGAGGCGCGCATTAGACTGTTACGGGGTGGGCTATCATCAGGCTCAGCGTTGCATTTAAGACGTCATTCTGTGGATTGTCAAACAGCAGTCGACTGAGTGAGCGTGTATGCGCACCTGAGCCATAGGCCTTACAATATGTTTCCGAGCAACGACTCTCTCCCGGATGATGTCTCTAAAGGCACAAGTCTGGCCGCCTCTTAAGCTCTATGAGAGATATGATCGTAGTACTTCAGCTCGGGGAGTGTAGGAGAGTGTCGTCGCAGTGGTACGTAGGCGGCAACATGCAAGGAGCAAAGCATTCTGGGCGAAGTGTAGGATATGTCAGATTCGTCTTCCCCTGAAAGAGTCTGTATGAAGACATCTGCTGTAGGACAGGAGACCTGTTGATGGTGGACGTGGGGGAACAGAGAAGAGCGAGGTCGGGTCCACCTTGCTCGCACCAAAAGCGATCTCGATAGTAGAGTGATACTGTTAACCCTAACCTGAGTGGCAAGTGCTCTTGGTTCAGCCTGCTCTCTGTTCGCCCACTGCTGAACATTTGAGCTGCTTACGACGAGTTTATTCTCTTTTTAAGCCTCAAATCAAATTAATTTGAAAGAGATGTGGGCTGAGGGGGATATTTTGACTGAATTGAGTATCTATATGCATTGAATATTCAACCGTACGCTTATTTGCGCCGTATAAATCACCCATAAAATAATCGGACTAACCACTGTGCTTTCAGGCGAAGACGGAGTTCAGATAACGCGTAATTAGAGCTCAGATCGCGACCTACAGCTCGCAGGTATGGCGAATTTGGTATTGAGCGCTCACGCGCGGCGGAGGGTTGAGTCTACTGAGCGGAACGGGCTCGCGAGCGTAGTGAGTGAGAAGCTCGAGAGCTTCAGCTCAGGCCCCAATGGCTCGCTAGAGTACTAGAGCGATTTTTTCTTCTTTCCCTCTAATTTTGTCCCAGGAATGCCCAGAGCGATCTCGGAGATGGCCGCCCCATCCGCCCGCAGTCTTCCGAATCGATTTCACGCCCTCGTAACGCGGTGCAAGCATCGCCTGCCCCGCGCAATGTTCTCACCATAACTTTGCCTCTTGAATTGCAACAGCCATCGCCGCCGGCTGGTGCTCGAAGCACTCTTGACTGCTATAGTCTAAAGGCTGTGTTTCGATCTGTCTCCTGCCTTTATACCCGGCTGGCATCTACAGAAACGTTAACGCAAGATTTGCACCTTCATCATCCCGGAATATCTTTCGTACCTGGGATATACCCTCTTCGGAAGGTCTGCTGTCCCGGAGGAAGCAATATCGTAGTCCTACCCATACAACAAGTGATTCGCGCAGCAGGGATCATCCCATGAGGACGATCGCGAGTGCCTCCTCGAGAGATACCTTGAGAAGATATCGTGCGTGGGGTGGGTTATCATCCTGAAGGAATACATGGCTATTTGGCACTCATACTGCTTCTTCAGTCGAGGAACCTTGGCCATTTCATCTGTTCATCCGCTCTTGGGAGCGGCTCCCCACCGAACTGCGTGAATACATCTATGACTTCCTGGCGAGCTCCGACGACAAAGCCGCTGCGTCAAAGCTCTCCCTAATCTCGCAAGCCTGGTGCCGGCACTTTCGTCCTCGCACTTTCGCCTTGCTCTCGCTGAGAAGTGAAGAGTACTGTCGCACGCTATATAGCATAGTGCGCTCCCCGCTATCGGCTTGGCTTAGGGAACATATTACCTGGCTGCGCTTTGACCACCATAATCATCATGATCATCGTCTCTGGATGTCACTTGTCCGTATCCTCCCGGCGTGCCGCCACGTCGGGCACAACTTCCATGGCGACCCCGGACGCATATTGCACAGCGCAGCTCTGAAGAGTTCGTTGCAGAGCATCACATCCTTGGAACTCAACAACTGCAGCTTCCCATCGCTCCGAATTTTACTCCGCATACTGGGACATATTACCTGCTTGAAAGATGTTACTTTCGCAATTGTCAAATGGTCAGATGACCAACTCACAACGGCTGACACCGCGAGTAATGTCTGCACGGGCGGCTTCGACCATATCCGCTCAGTCATGATGCGGAGCTGCACGAACAACACGGCAGTACCCGCATGGATCCTTGCCGCCGCGAGCACCCGACACTCGTTTGCTAGGCGTCGGACGCCAGGGCCAGCAGTCCCTGCAGAGACGTGGGCCATCATCGAGCTCATCCAGACGTTCTTGGGAGGCAGCGTGTTTAGTTCAGAATATCATGTCAAGGAGGCAGCTGCAGGTGAGCTCGACTCATCCCTGTACCAGACTGTTGTACTCATCTGATCTCCCAAGATACTTACAGATTCGTTGGTGCTCTGTCCGTGGAATCGCCAGTAATAGGCACCATATATGTCTCAGTCCAGGTCATCAAGTCAGCATCCTCCACCGGTGGCAATGAAGTCTGGTCTGTACGCCAAATCGTTCTCGCTGATACGAATATAACTACATTCGATTCCAAACCACTCCCATATTTCTACTCTTGTGATTGGTCCATGATGACTTCTCTTCTGCCCACATTTCCACAATTACAGCAGTTGCAGGTCCTCTGTGGGAGGAATTGCTCTGAAGAAAATTTCCGCATGCTCTCTGACAAAGTTGAGGGAGTTGTGAGCAGCCACACACATCCGGTCGTTACACTTCAACATGATCCAGATTTGCCAGACGGGAGATACTTGCAGCCGACGCTATTTGATCTAACCGAGGAACATGTAGAGGTGGCACGGGCAGTAAAGGTATGAACTGGAAAGCAGAATTCCTTAGCACCTCACTGAGCAAATTTTCCGCGCAGAGCTGGACCGTACAGCGTAGAGGCATTTGAGCGTTGGACACGATTTCGGCGAGAGTGAAGCAGTCGATTGATGTCTGCTTCTCATATGTTCAGTATCCTTGTCTACTCTCGTTTGATCATATGCATGGACTTCTAGTACACAACTCGACGTGCCTGAGTGATGTCCTACGCCGCTAGATTGTAGAAGTAGCCGGTACATGTAGCACGCCATGAAAGCTTCCCCGAAGCACATTGTCGAGCGGTGGTCTTGTGCAGGATGACTTCGTCGGAATCCACGGCACTGGGCCCACTCGTTACCAATGAACATACTACGACAAGCACGCGTCGTCGTGGGGAGCATCATAATTACTCTGGCCCATATCGTGCCAGGTACAAATGCCGTACAAAATCGTAATGCCGCAGACAAGTGCATTATTGAACTTACAGTAAAGAATAGTTCTTGCTCGATGACAGCGGCTCGCAGTGATAACGCACCCAGGAACTCACCGCGAAAAATTTGTACCCACGCTTTAGTCGCCTTAGGCTATCCACGTCGAACTTCGCCCGCGGATCGTCCACACGCAGCAGGGTGCCACGTTAGCCAGGATCTCGATACATAGCATCGAATATCTGCTTGGTAGTCAGACGGTGGACGAACAATAGTAACAGTTGCTTTACTTACCGCGTCTGCCGTACTCAGCGTTGCAACTTGAAAACTCGTACCTGCCACAGAAAGCAGCCCGGTGCCGAGGTGATGATTCTTGAACAGATGCATCGTCTCGCGCTTCTTCCGGCCGAACATGTACGGTAACGTCGGTGTGTAGAGCCATGCGCAGTCACTTCGTGGTGAGCTTGCGCGAGCGGCAGTAGATCCATGCTCGCTCCGCGCTCGTGCGACCTGCTTCGCGTAGCGAGAGAGATGGCACTTGGCTGAGCCGCTCCTTGGCGATAGAGTGGTCAGACATGACTCCGAGCGAGCGATTTGCACTGAGTCCAATGCAGGGTGCGCAGGTGCCTCTAGGGAAAGGCAGCCGGAGGCCCGAGGCAAAGATGGGCCGACGAATAGAGTCATGGAGTGCCTTCGTGGCGTAAACTCTGATAGACAGGCGAAGGTGCTCTTGCGCACCGCCCTGCGACATTGTCTCGGTGGTGGCAGCCTGATAACACTAAAGACTTTCTGGCTGTCCTTGTTACAGTTGCTTAGAGTCGAGACTACGCTCTCTCGGAAATAGATGCGATAAGGAATCAATCAGAATGGGCGCTCGAGGGCTCACGAGCCCGCATGTCTAGTCGATCGGATATTCTGAGGGTCTTGGGCTACTACAACACCAAGGCGACACTATCGCAATCGTGAAGCGACGGCCCACTCGAGCTCATTGCCGTTCGTCTTGAGGCTCTCGAGCGATAGTGACCGGCACTTGGTCTCATCCTCGCCAGCGGCGTTCGCTTTCGTCGCCGCCGGTGTGGTGCGAAGCGCAACCGCGGGGAACGAGAATCGTTCCTGCCGCTATACGATTTCCTCCTCTGAGCTGTGCCGGCCATAGCAGGGGTCGGCGCCGACGGTAGAGTGTTGGGCGCTGCAAGGCCCTCTGGCGTGTCCGTTGTGCTCACGTCGCGCTGGCCAGGCGCCTCTGCGTTCTCCTCATCTTCCTCGGGGTCGTCAAGTGTGTAAGACGGCTTGGTGCCGCTATGGCTAAATTGCGGAGTCGGAGGGATCGCGCCAGCAGGGCCTTATCGCGCGGGAGGCGTTCAGGTATTGGAAGTAGGTGAGGGTCGGCCTCAGAGCACTGTCGTCTTGCGATCGGCTCGATACGAAGGACAGCTAAGAAGGGCGCGGACGTCCGGATGCAGTGGGAAAGGCATAAGCCTCGGGCCGGGAAGTGAGAGCTGGCGTTGTCGCTGGCTCGATCACGGTGCTTATCGCAAGGAAGACAGATTTGTAGCAGGCGCCACAGGCGCGGCCCTGCTTGGACGTATGTCGCAGGAGCTTACGATCTAGGGCACCTGGGGCAGGCAAACATCGAGCCCAGCAGCGATATATTTGTGTAGCAGATCGCGATCGCCTATTTGCCACGTTCTTCCAGGCTGCGGGCATATAGAGCGAAGGACCTGCGCGGCCTAAGAGCCCCAAAATGTAGAGATTTGTTTAGTTCGTCGAGCACGCCAAGTATGACCTGACCTGACTTGCCGCGCATTCAGCCCAACGGAGCAGATTGAATACGAGACGGTCATATCCGCAAACAAAGGATGGACGTACATATACCCGTCGCTCTGGGACGGCCGCCATGGGAGAATCGTTATATGCTTCATGATGCCCACGAGCAGCGCTGGCGAGTAAATCTGGGCCATGCTGAGGAGACCATGCGAACATTGAGGGAATAATAGTTGTCGAAGACGCTCTTGCAATGACGAATGGGTATTCATCTCAACCGCTTGCGTCTCTCTGGCCGAGTCTGAGCCAGTGTTTCCTGGGCTGGGAAAGGATGACGCTAGGGCGTGGTGGCGAGCGTAGTAGAGCGACAGAAACGCGAGGAGTTCTTCCTGGCTTGTGTCGCAGTTTTTGCGAGACTTCTTCTCACCTCTGTCGGCCCTAAAATTTGTGTGAGAGTTGCGGGTTTTTTAAGAGTCAGACGGACATACGAGGTTCCATCGGACATTGCGAAACCGCATCGACCTGAACGATAGGGGGCAGTTGGTAATGCGCAGCTTCGTGGCCTTACTCTCCAACGAAGTAGAACATACGTATGGGCGTCACTCCCGGATGACTGCCCTGTAAGGGTCGTGCATTTCGCTTCTCTGCGCATAGAGCCGCCAAGTATATTCGAATCGTGTTGTCAATGTCTGTGAGAGTATCGACGGGATAGCTGTGCGAGACGCTCTGCAACTGGAGAATGGTATGCGTTGGAGCATGGCGGGCTGAATCGAAGCCGGTGTTTCCTCGAGCTGATGAAGGAATGAAGCCAGGACACGTCCTTGAGCGTGATAGAGCGAAGAAGCACGAGGAGCTCTTCTTGGCTTGCGTCTTCGTGAATAATGTGGTCCCCATCAACCCTATAATCTCGGTGAGAAGCGGAAGTTGCCTTGAGAGCCAGAGACGTACGACGTTTCGGGCCGCTTTGCAAGAATGCACTGTGGGTCTGTTGCCTACGCGCTTTCTCGTGATTTTTATTTTTCAACGCGACAATGCCACATTCCTCATCGTGCAACATCTTGTCGTCCTTCAGCCTGTTCTTCCATTCTTTTCGTACGCCGTCTGACATCGCTCGTAGGCCTTCAGAAACGAGTAGAAAGTCAAAACTGGGCGAGGCTAGTCTTCCTCTCGTAGGTCGTTATAGCGGTATCCGTCTTGTTACGCCGGCACTGCGAGTCTTCGGTTGTTTCTCCAGCGGTCACCATCATCTCGAAGGAGCCCATCATCGCAACGATACACGGTAGGCCGTACATGAACGGGATATTGTGAGGCTCGGCACGGTACCCAAAGGCTATTATATGAATTCTCAGACAACGATCGACAGAGAGCGAGTAGATGCGCGCACCTGAGTTCCCGGCCTACGAGATGCTACCGACCTTCCCCTCCCGGCTAGTGCTCCTAAATTGCGAGTCTGGCCGCCTGTCAAGATTTGCAAGACGCTTCAAAGCGGAGCGTGGTGACTTGAGTACTTCAGCTCGGGGAACGTTGTACGCAGGGTTGCGCCAGCGGTAGCGTGCAAAGAGGGAGGCATATCGGACGAAGTGTAGGACATGTTCGCGGGTAGTCAACACAAGGAAGAATCTGTATAGAGGTGTATGCTGCAGGGCGTAGACCTGTTCATGGTGGTCGTGGAGGGAAGAGCGAAATCGAGGTCCGCACTATAAGCGCCGGAGAGCCCCGGGCGCCACAAGGCCCCGGCCTCCGACCCGACGCTCCAGGACGCTCCGCCACTTCGCTCCAGAGTCCAGGTCATCATGAAGACTCAAATCGAGCCCTGGGCAGTAGAATTTCCCGCATTAAAATCACCGTCTGCTACGCCTACGCTGATGCTGATGCACCTACGACCGAGAAGTGATCGCGACCCGGACTCCTGCAGTGCGCTCTGATGTTTTTACCACTGGTATGTTGAGCTCGCACTGCAGGCAGAGTATACCCCGGCCGTAACGCGCAATATCACCGGGCTCAAATTGACCGTAGCATGTCGGGATTCTCAATTTCACTCGCCTTTAACTGTTCGCTAACGCGCGTACTTCGCGTCGATTTCTTTGCTAACGTTCTGGTGCGCGACGAGACTATTCCCCGTCAAGGATCGCCAAGGCCATCGGGATTTCAGATTTTGTGAGCCAAAGGCCTCCGTCAAGGGAATACTGACAGTCGCATAGACCCGACACACATCTCAGTGTACGCTTACCGAGAATGCTGACACGCCGCAATAATCCTCGATGCTGGTTAATACATTTGGAAATTGGCAGGCGAGCTAACAGGTGGCGGCATCTCAAGGCTTCGCATCCATCCTCGGCTCCTGGTACGCCGCCGTATCCGGCTGAAGGACCACCGCTCTAGCTATCATTCTACGCCGTCCCCGTCTCCAACCTGCTCGCTAGCCCAGCACCACCCTTGGCCCGCTCAGCTGCTTTGATGATGCCGGCAGCTATATAACACCAATCAGTCACCCGCAGGGAAGTGAGTATATGTCACGGTGCGCACCTTGACCCGCTCACCCGCTGCGCTCCAAGCCTCCTCCGGAGCAGATGGCCCAGCCACCATACCAGAACTCGCGCCTGTCGATGGTCCGCTCGCGCGTTTATCTACAAGCTCCCCTAGGTATTCATCACTCTCTCCCTGACCATCGCGGATAATCCACTCGACTTGCTCAGCGGCGTCGAGAGTGATCGTGACGTCGTCGATAGTATGCTCCGAGCTCGCTTGCAGGGATAGGATGCCCTGACTGTTGAGAACACGGAAACCCTGGGGATCAGGAAACTCGAACTTGAGTTTGTCTGACTTGAGAGCCCAGTCCAACTGCGTCCCCTGCAAGACGGAGCGCAGGATCGCTTTGAAGGCGTCGCATTCCAGACTATCCAGTGTGTCGCTCTGGAAATGAAGACGGTCGAAGAGTGGAGCATCAACGATCGTACGGAAGGCGTCGAAATGAAGGGATTCCATGGCCTGGGCGTCAGTGAGCGAAAGCTGGGGGTAGATATAGTCGATGACTGCGGATGGAGGCCCAACACCTTGGCCTGCAGTCATCTGCGGTACTCCAATATCGGCGTAAATGTAGATGCCAAGCCGCGAGATCGTGTCGTCCATACTTGGAGCGAGAGTAACGTTCGCCACCTCTGACAAGAGACAATTAGTACGCGTTCTAGTTTCTGAACTGATTAAAAGTCATACTGAGCGATTTGTCCTCGGGTTGACGGATGTTAACGCGCGCATCTTGAAATGTTCCGGGTGCCAATGCAAGCAGTGCATGAAGAACGGCGTCCCATATGTCGGCGTCGAGGCCGACGCGGGTGGCAATCGAGAGGACGTCAGAGGCAAGTGCTGCTTTCGCGAAAAGTGGTATTGCCTCACATTGCGACACTTGGCATTCGATGAGAGACCATAAAGACATTCGCGGACTCCTGCGTGACTGGATGACCGGTGATGGGTCAATGAAGGTCAGTTGGTTGCAAGCGAAATGCTGGAGTGATGGGAAGCTGTCAACGAGCAGCGCAAGCTCTGTCGCACTGGCAAATCGTAGCTTCACGAGCGCAAGGGCGGTGAGTCGCAGACTGGAGGGTGGGCACCCTGGGCAACGAATGGAACAGGTCTCGGTGACCGACCACTGGACTAGAACCATCCGTAGGACTCTTGACGTAACAGTTGAACAGCGTTTCTTGAAGTCGAGATGTCAGCCAATGGACGTGATGGAGCCATGCCGGCTTCGTCGAAGCAGTCTCCTGATATATTGACACAAGCTGGATTGCGTCCGATAGAGACGACGTCCGGAATCGGGGACTGTCAACGACGTTCCGTAACATACGTACGTCCTCTGCGCTGATCAATTGGAGCCTTGAGAAGAGGAGAGGCCTGGTCGCCTCCGACCAGTGGTTGCACACAAGGCTGGGCGCAGCAAGTCCACGCTTCAAGCTCCTATATTCGTTCCACGAGAGCTCGAATGAGTAGCTCGCGCGAACTCTGCATGTGTCAGGAGGAGTGAGGAAGTAGAGAATTCGGGAAAGCAGCTCTGGAGGGAGGTCGGCTCCTGTGGCGTACGGCATACTTGTGAAGGAGGACGATGACGTTGTCCAAGGGATGGAGGGGGACGACAACAACATGTCCTGCCGGCGCTCGCCCACGGCCACGAGGCTTAATGATGCATGCTTTTCGTCTTATCGCCACTCGACATGTCAGGACACAGCTTTGATAGTCGAAATTTAATATGTGGCTGGACAAAATGGCAGCTGACAATTGCCGCACGCAAAGGCTGTGCCATCGTATTATGCAAACTTACGAAAGTGACCTGTGGTGGTCAGTCGATGCACCAGTCGAAAGTGCAGGAAAGCCTGAAGCCAGCTGCTGCGCTCTCGCTCTTCAAGACCTCTAGTTTGCGTCCAGGACCGTCGCAGGCGCCGCCTCACCAAATATTGCGGTTGACGGGGCGTTCGTCTGTTAAACTGTTCGTCAGATGGGACATGGCGCTCGAGAGCAGAAGCGCACCAATACAGCCCAGCGAGAGGCTGTGAAAGGACGACTAGAGGAGCTAGAAGAAAGGCAGAAATTGAGGTTCACGAACGTCAATCGAGATGTTTCATGCAGCCAATGCTATGCCGTGATGCTATGCACAAATCCAAGAACATTCAACATTCCTTATCGGCGTCTACGGTACATGCTTAACCCAGAAGTATATACATACCGAATTATTCCGCCCATGGCCTTACACAACGCGACTGAGGCACGTCAAAAGGCAGCGACGATCTTGCACAAGTACGATAATTTGAGCTAGCTGCAGCCTTGACAATATCTGCAGCTGCGCAATGGCTCGTCAGTGTCTGTGCGGCCAGTGCAATAGATGTAACAGAATGCACTCACCGAGGTCACTCGAGAAGCCGGAGAGACTGATGAATTCGCATCCCAGACTGCCAGACTTGCCAGACTTGCCAGGCTCGAACCGCTCCATCACAACGTCGAACTGCTCCCGCAATCCACGATGCGCCTTGTCGTCGATATTTGCCGCAACGTCCTTCGTCTTGTCGTATATCTAGGCCTGTTTGCCCTGCGGCGCAAACATGTCGAAGCCGTTTCATGCGAAGCTGGCGATACCGGTAATATGCAAACCTGATCTAGAATTACTGCCCAGAAAGAAGTGATTTTAGCATATACATGCGTGCAGTGGGATACCAGCTTACTAGTGCTTGAGGCGCTCGGCAGTAACGGTAGGATCTAGGGGAAGATGGAGAGCACCGAACAAAGTGTCGCCCTTAAGTCTTACGAAAGAGTATCAGTAAGGAGAGACTTCGCTCATGCGCTAGAAAGACATACCTTAGCTTAAGCTAACAAAAATATGTTCCTGGATGTTCTTTCCGACGCCAGAGAGGCCAACCTTCGATGGAACCTCGATCTTCTCCAGTATATCCTTCCAGCCGAAGCCTAAAAGATTGAGCATATTGCAGACGCGCAAGCAGATATTAACGCTTACCTCTGAGTAGGATCCGCTTCCGCCGCGCCGCGCCGGCCGTAATGTGAATTAGCGTCGGCAGCAGGTTGTGCGGCACTGCAAGGTCCTCCGGTGTGTTCACTGCTTAGCGCGTCCGCGCCGAGCTGATCGGGAGCCTCGGCGGTCTCCTCGTCTTGCTCCACGTCGTCGAGTGTGCACGGTAGCTGGATACCGCTGTGTCGTTACGGGCTCGATATAAACAGTCATCGGGACAGATGCAGACGTCTGGCCACCATATTCGGGAAGTAGGGAGAACACGGGTCTGCAGCTAAAAAAAAAAAAAAGGGAGTTGATGTCGTCGTTGTCACATTTGCAGGCTCGGGCGCGGTGCCCATCCCAAAGAAGATGGCGTCACAGGCCCGCGCAGACAGGCGGCCCAACCGCACAATGAAGGATTCCCAGGGAAAGTAGATATCGAGGCCAATAGCTATGCCTTCGTGTTGCAGATCGGGTCGTCCATCCGCCGCGCCCTTCATCTTGGCTGTAGGCATATAAGATGAAAGGTCTGGCCGGCCTGAAAGCCTCGAGACGTGAACGTCCGCTCGCCACGTCGGGTGAGCCGAGCACACCTGGCTCGTGGTTAATTCGGCGTTGCTATATTGGCTGAGTACGAGGCATCATGTTACAAACAGAGCGAGCACATACTCAGCATGATCGCCATGTTACACAATAGTCGTTCGAGAGGGTTCGTAACGACGACGGGGCATGCGTCTTGACCAGCTTATACATCTTGTCCGGGTATAAATCGGTGCTTGCGAAGAGCATAATGAGAGCAAAGAGACCTTCCGGTCCCGCGTTTTCGTGAATGATATTCTTGGCGTCGACAACCCTGAAATCTCAGTGAGAAGTGAAAATCGTCTTCAGACCCAAATAGACGTACGAGGCTTCATGCTGCCTTGCAGAAATGCACCGCACGGGCCAGCCACACGGGCACTCAACGCGATGATGCCGCACTCAGAACTGCGCAAGATTCTGCCGTCCTCGAGCTTCAGTCCGCTCTTCTTTTATTCTTGTACGCCGTCTGGCACAGCTCGTAGGACGTTTCGGAACCAGTCCAAGCTCGAAACCCAACGCAGCTCGCCCTTCTGAGATGCATGGGTGCCGACACTGCCCTTCCTGTTGCGCCTGTAATCCGAGTCTTCGATGGCTGCGCCAACGGCCATCATTGCTCTTGTTGGTGGCCAGAGTAAATAGTACATGAGCGAAAAATCATGAGATTCAGCACTGCGCCCAAGCTGATCTGCGGATGTTCAGACGGTAGTCAACTGAGAGTGTGTGCGCGCGCACCTGAACCTCAGCCCTCTAATATACTTCCAACTCCCTCCCAGCTGATGCTCCAAGACACAAGTTTGGCTACCTGCCGCACTCCACGAGCCACCTGAAAGGCGAAAAGCCGTTTGTAAAGCCTCCATGAAAATCTTGGACTTGAGCCAGGTGGTCCTCAGGACACAATGAAGCCGCGCTGGCGGGAGGGAGTCGCTCGTTGAGCTGGCAGAAAGGAGCGTGAGATATCGTACACAGACATTTTTTCAGCGACGGTTCTGTATAGGAAGGCCCACTGTGGGAGGAAGATGGTCGAACATGGAGGGGTGAAGAAGAGCGAGACCGGGTAGTCCTACTGGAAGGCGCCCGCGAGTCCCGGACGCCACAAGGCCTCGGCTCGGCGGTTTGTTCGAGTTCCGCACATGATTTCGCTTTGCCCGAGGGGCAAGCATGATCTGGCTTAACCTCAGTGTTTAGTGCTCAGTTTTTGTACATGTTCGAGGCCGTTCAATTTGGCCCCCACTGGCCGCCGCCCACGCCAAGGTCGCTGTCCAAGAGATAGACGGATAGAACACGCGACGCGCCACACTGCAAAATTGGTGCGCGCCACGGCGTGGCTCCGATATTGGCCCCACGCGTCGTGAAGACTCTCGCAATACAGAGGATGCGACCACCACATTCTGCAGAAGATTCAATGACCTTGATTCTGAGACGTGCACAAACCAGAGCAGATTACAAAGCATAGATACAACCGAGAAACATCGTCGTGATGCGGTTCTCTTCAGTGACAGATTCCCTACATGCGCCAACGTCCTAGCCACCACCCCTGCACCATCCACGTCTCTGCCTTGCCTGCTAGCCTTGCGCCATCCTTGACCCACTAAACTGCTGTGTCTTGATAATGTTGGCAGCTATAGAATGGCACTCATCAGCCACCCGCAGGAAAATGAGTACAGACCATGATACGCACCTTGAACCGCTCAGCCGCCGTGCTCTAGGCCTCCTTCGGAGCAGACGGCCCAGCCACCGTCCCAGAACTCGCATCCGCAGATGGTCCGCGTGCGCGCGCGGCTACAAGCTCCTCCAGGTATTCATCGCCCTTTCCCTGACCATCGCGAATAATCCACTCGACTTGCTCAGCGGCGTCGAGAGTGATCGTGACGTCGTCGATAGTGTGCTCCAAGCTCGCTTGCAGGGAGCGAATGTCTTGACTGTTGAGAACACGGCCTCCTTGGGGACCAGGAAACCTGAACTTGAGTTTGTCTGACTTGAGAGCCCAGTCCAACTGCGTCCCCTGCAAGACGGAGCGCAGGATCGCTTTCAAGGTCTTGCACCGCGGGCCATCCAGTGTATCACTAGGAAAACGAAGGCCGTCGAAGAGTGGAGCATCGACGATCGTCTGTAAGTCGTCGAAACGAAGGGATTCAATCGCCTGGGCGTCAGAGAATGAAAGACAGAGGTAGATACGGTCGATGAATGCCGATGGAGGCCCAACACCTTGGCCTGCATTCTCCTGGCGTACCCCGATATAGGCGTCGATATAACTACCACGCAACGAGAATATGTCGTCCGTGCTTGGACCGAGAATAACACGCGGCACCTCTGGCAAGGGACATTTAGCACGAGATCTAGTCTCTGAACTGATTAGAAGACATACTGAGCGAGCTGTGCTCGGGTTGCCGAATTTCAACGCGTACAGCTTGAAATGTTCCGGGTGCCAATGCAAGAAGTGCATGAAGAACGGCGTCCCATGTGTGGAAGTCGAGGCCGACGCGGGTAGCAATCGAGAGGATGTCAGAGGCAAGTGCTGCTTTCGCGGAAAGTGGTATTGCCTCACATTGATACACTTGGCATTGGACGAGAGATGATGAAGGTCTTCGCGAACTCCTGCGGGACTGGACAACCGGTGATGGATCGAGGAAGGTCAGTTGGTAGCAAGCGAGACGCTGGAGGAATGGGAAGCCGTCAATGAGCAGCGCGGCCTCTGTCGCACTCGCAAATTGTAGTTTCCTGAGCACAAGGCCGGTGAGTCGCAGGCTGTAAAGTGGGGGCACCCTGGGTAATGAACGGAACAGGTCTCGGTGGCCGATCATCGAATGAGACCCATCCGTAGGGCTCGTGATGTAACAGTGGAACAATGTTTCTTGAAGTCGAGATGTCAGCCAATGGACGTGATGGAGCCATGCCGGCTTCGTCTGAGCAGCCTCCTGCTGTATTGACACACGCTGGATTGCGCCCGATAGAGACGACGTCCGGAATCGGGGACTGTCGATGACGTTCCGTAACATACGTACGTCTTCTGCACTGCGCAAACCGAGTCTTGAGAAGAGGAGAGGTCTGATCGCCTCCGACCAGTGCTTGCACACAAGGCTGGGTGTGGCGAGTCCACTCTTCAAGCGCAAGTATTTTTTCCACGAGAGCTCGAATGAGTGGCTCGCACGATTCTTGCATGTGTCAGGAGGAGTGAGGTAGTAGAGGATGCGGGAGAGCATCTCGGGAGGGAGGTCGGCTCCTGTGGCGTCCGGCATTGTTGCGGAGGAGGACGATGGCGTTCGACTGTGTAGTTCTGTGAGCATGCAAGGGGACGAGGTCAAGTAGCTGTCCAAGCGATGGGAGTGGACGACAGCAGCATGCCGTGCTGGCGCTCATCTTCGCCCGGCTCGCTAAAGATTGGATGTAGGAGGCTTTGACGTGATGGATGCGGCATTCATCGCCGGTTTACAGCCACTCGATATATTGGGACACAGCCTTGATACTCGAAAATTGCTGGCACGGGGCTAATTAGTGGATATTTCTAGCTGACAGAGGCACGAAAATCACCGCGAGAAAAGAAGCTAAATAGCCTGGAAACTTTCCGGCGAAAATATATGATAGGTAAAATTTGAAAATAAGAGTAAAACAAAGTCGCCTTTTTAGTAAATCTTATTGCAAAAAGTTGGTCTACTCGCAGCAAAATGAGGTGCAAATATTGCTGGGCTATACAGAGTAATACACATGGAGAAAGAAATGATGCTGATTTTGCCCCAAGGATATTTTGACTGTCCTAATACCTCAAAAGGTGTAAAAGTAGTGTATCTTTTTGTACCACTAAAACAATAACATCCCCATGGGGAAATAGCTTAAGTGTATTTATGAAACAAACTGAATGTGCTTTTGTACCTCTATCCACGCAAAATAGTATAAAATTAGCCCTGTGTGGACAGGAAACTCATGAAAGTGACATGTGGTCAACGATCAATGCCAATCCCACCCCAGCTGAAAGTTTGAAGTCAACTGCTATGCTTCTGTCACAGGGTGGTAAGCACAGTTTTTTTCTTGAGGAAACTCAGGCAAAAGTGGCTAAACAAGGCCCAGTTATTCCTTGATTTCACGCAGATGCAAACTGAGGAGCAACTGGTGCAAAACCAGCCAAAAAGGTCTGAAACACAGTAAAACTGGCGGAAAACTGAGTTTTGCCTTCGGTTTTTTTCCAAGTGAAAACCGGAGAGAGTCGGTGTAGAAGGGTTTTCAGCGCCAACACCAATAACTTACATTTACCTTCTTTCCGCATTTACACAGATGGTGGACGGTGGCTTGACCAGGAAGACAGGACGTAGGTGACGCCGCAAGTGACGGAGTACCCCGCGACCTGAGGGCGGCAGGAACGCGCATGTAAATAGGGGCCCGCTGTGCGCGAGCGTGCCGAGTCATCGCCTGTCGGAGCGGCGCGCCATTCCCGAAGCCTGACGCCACTATTTCGTTTTCCATCGCATTCGCAGGTTTTTCCCCAATAGAGACCCTTTCGTTGACGTTTACCTTCACTTTCCGTACACATAGACCTCCGGCCGAGAGCACGGCAGCGGAGCAGCGCTCGCATGTATATTAAAGGCGACCTCCCGCCGTCGAATGGAGCAAGCTCCCCTTTCCCCCACCTTCACCTCTAAAGTCTGCCCCTCCGAGCTTCGGGCACATCCTAAGAGTCATCGAGAATACACTCGCGAGAGCGCGAGACGAGTTTCGCCCGCGACGAGCGCGGGCACGAGCATTTAAGTAAGAGTTTTATTAGATTGTTCATCGAGCTTAGTTACGCGTTTAGACATCGAGTTTTGTCATCGGCCGTTCCCTCCCCACACGTAAAGCCCCGCATACATCGAGCGCCGACCCGTACGTCGAATCCTCCTCCACATCGGGGCCTTGTTGAACCAGTTTTTGGCCAATTTGTGCCGGAAAAAAGTGCGCTTACCACCCAGTGCGTTCTTCAAAGCCCCAAGCCCACGTCCGTGGACGTTGCCCACGCGTAGGATGGTCGAGTACGGCCGGATCATGCTGCCAATGTCCGTACGAATGCTGATAGAGCGGTCGCTCAAGAAGCCGCGCAGTGGCACAAGGGCACATGCCTCGAGAATACTGCATATTTGGCCGAGTCCAAATTGGTCTTTCTCGAGGGCAGGGGAAGGAGTGGAGCGAAGTCATAGTCATAAGTGTGATAGAACAATAGAAGGAAGAGAGCCTCTTCTTCATTTGTTTTTCCGCGAAAGATGCTCTCGTGTACATCAGTACTAATATCTGCGTGGGGAAAAGGTCTAGTCGTAATAGCCAAATGAACGTACAAGCTTCCGGGCGCAAATACACGCCGACTTGAGCAGCCGACGACAGCTGTCCACGCGCAGCTTTGTAGTTTTGCTCTCTCCAAAGCGACGATGCCACATCCGAATTCCCACGAGATCTTGTCGTCTTCAAGATATGCTTTGTTTTCCAACGAATACGTCGTCTGAGGTCGCTCGTAGGCCTTTCGGAACAGGTCGAAGATTGGAATTTTGAGGCCGGGCGCGGCCAGCACAGCACTGCTAAGACGCGTTCTCGTAAGTTGTGCCAACAGCGTCCTGTAATCTGAATCCCCAATTGCTCTGTCGATGACCGTCATCGTTCGGGGGAAGGAGTTCACTTCGGTCGAAGTTCGGTGGCTCAGAGCGGATCGTACACGAGTGGGCCTTTACAAGGTCCGGGATCAAATCTGAGTAATATGCAAATGCTCAGAGTTTAAATGGCATCTGACTGCGAGGGATTATGTGTGCGTACCTGAACCTCAACTCTATAGAACACTTCCGACCAACGACCATTCCCTGCTCTACAAACACGAACCCGGCTACCTGCAGCCCTTCACGAGCCCATTGGAAAGCAAAGGACCTCTCAGAGAGTTTCAGGGGAGGACTTGACCTCGAGGTATGTATTCCATCGAGCTTAGGATGGGAGTGACATGACGGCGGTCCTTCAGCCCCGCGCCGGAGGTGGGTCGCTCGCAGAGCTAACAGAAAAGACGATGCAGGCAGAGCAATCTCAGAGGCATTTTTTCCAAGAAAATTTCTGCGCATGAAGACTCCCTGCGGAACAAAGATAGACTCGTGGTGAGCATAATGGAGGAGGAGGAGAGAGAAGCTGGGCTCTCGGCCTGCCCGAGATGTAAGCGCTGGCGACTCCCGGACGCCACAAAGCCTCGGGCTTCGGCGTTTTGTTCGAGTTCCGCTTTGCCTCAGGCTTTGCTCGTCGTGAGCAGCACTCCCACAGCCGCGTTGTGCCCATTTCCTGTGTGAGGCCCACGCGTCGCTGCACATATGATTGGTCTTGCCCTCAAGCTTTCTGCCGTGAGCACAATTTACATTTGATCGTTCTGGTGTGCTCATAGTCATGCTAGGTCCATTCAAATTGTCTGCCCTCGGTCGATTCCCTGGTCTCTTCCGACACGCCGTCTTTGACACTGTCGCCTATACAATTCTCGGCAGCCTGCCCTAGTAGCTCTCTGGACGATTCAGTGGGAGCGTCCAGGACCTGCCAGCATTGCGGTATATGGTTCTTATCATAGCACATCATCATGGTGCGTTATATACATGTCTGTGCTGGGTCTAGAAGATCTTACATAACCTATTCCACCTTAGAGAAGCGCCACCCCGAACTAGGCCTGTAGGGTCGCCTGGAAGATCCCGAACGCGACGTACAGAAAATGTACGATTCGGACGATATAAGGCCGAGGTATGCACTCACTCTGTCTTATCTTCACGGGTCACTCACTATGGTTTTAGTCCGTCGGCTCCCACCTGCACGATATGCGGGTCAATATGCAGGTAATATCGCTCGTCACGTTCGCACGGACGCGCTTCCCGACCTCTGCTTCGTTTACTCTGGGTCACATGGAGATCTCTTGGTACTTGGTTTCCCCAGCGAATGCGAGGCGCATATCAACAACGGACGCAAGAAAACAAGATACTTGCCATCCATCGCCTGCGCGTAACGAAGATGGCTTGGGGCGTGGAAGATCTTAGGGACGTCGTCGCTCTCGAGCGAGACATTTTCAGCCAAATGACTCGCCACCGTGCGTTTTATCGGCAATGCCTTCAACACCAGACTGACAGAGCTCCGCGCAGGACCGCCGTTGTTGGCCCTTCGTTAACGTCACTCCCGCGCCTGCTCTGCTGTCGCCGGGATATTGTGCAGCGGCTGAGGGCCGAGATCGACGAGGCCATGCCTGACCCACGCGCCATTTTGCGGCGCAGGCACCCTCAACAAGTGCCTGATGCGGTCCCCAGGACTTTGCTTGTACGGCAAGCGCCTCATTATCGCAGCTCACGAAACCCAGCTCGAAGTCTTACTAAATATTTCGCTATGCACGCACCGCGCCGCGAATCCCGATCCTGCCTAATACGGCCCGCAACGAAGGGGTCGACATGATGGACTACGTGCTCCCGCCGGAGACGGTCGTCGCGACGCAGGCGTGGAATATGCATCGAAGCCGAAGAAGTCTCTCCCGAGCGTGGAGACGCTGTTTCCCGAACACTGGCTAGTGGTCGCGCAGAGATTGAGGCGGAAGAGGAGACGCGGCTCCCGAGGTACGTTCTTGCGTGGATTTTAACGAGAGTAGCGAGGTTGACGAGAGCCGCACGACCCACCAGCAGTGGGCATTGTTCGGTGCGGGCACTCACCAGTGCACTCGGCGCAGCTAACGATGCACGCTGCTGCCAGTGTGCGAACACGGCGGGAGGCAGATGACCAGATGGTAAGCACGCGCGATAGTACGTTCGTGAGTGGCCTCTTCATACATTGGTGAGCGCAGATTAAGTGCTGAGAGAAATGTGGCAGGTGTTGTATCAGGCCGCCAAGAAGTGCAAACTCGTGTTCATGTCGGCGATACAATGAAATGCATCAATGGTCTGGAGCGCGGGCTCCTGGTCTTGACGTTGCTACCCTGTTGTCCATCGCCAGTCTCACAATATCTCATCTTGTAGACAATCAATTCGTTCGCACATCCTGATCGCTCTCGCACACGCTCGATTCGTTCAGCTCTTATTGTCATTTCACTTTGAAGCTCATTCCATAACTCTGTCGATGAGCCGAATCCCGTCAGTTCTACAGAATGTCGTTAACCATATTGTACACCAAGCCATCCCTATATTACAAAAACATAGATATAACCTGACTTTCTGAGACATCATTGTGAAGCCATTCTATTCCAGTGACAGATCCCCTACATACACTAACGTCCTAGCCATCACCTCTGCACCACCCTCGCCTCTGCCCTGCCCGCTAGCCTTACCCTATCCTCCACACGCTCAACCACTGCGATTTGATAATCTCGGCAGCTATAGAACACTGATCAGCCGCCTGCAGGGAGATGGGCGCAGACCATAGCACGCACCTCTAACCGCTCAGCCGCCGTGCTCTAGGCTTCCTCCGGAGCAGATGGAACAGCCACCGTCCCAGAACTCGCATCCGCCGATGTTCCGCTCGCGCGCGAGGTTAAAAGCTCCTCCAGCTCGTCGTCGATAGTGTCCTCCAAGCTCGCGCGCGCGGTTAAAAGCTTCTCCAGGTATTCATCGCCCTCTCCCTGTTGGATAGCGTAAATAATACTATCGACTAGTTCAGCGGCGTCGACAGTGATCAGCTCGTCGTCGATAGTGTCCTTCAAGCTCGCGCACGCGGTTAAAAGCTTCTCCAGGTATTCATCGCCCTCTCCCTGTTGGATAGCGTAAATAATACTATCGACTAGTTCAGCGGCGTCGACAGTGATCGGCTCGTCGTCGATAGTGTCCTTCAAGCTCGCGCACGCGGTTAAAAGCTTCTCCAGGTATTCATCGCCCTCTCCCTGTTGGATAGCGTAAATAATACTATTGACTAGTTCAGCGGCGTCGACAGTGATCGGCTCGTCGTCGATAGTGTCCTTCAAGCTCGCGCACGCGGTTAAAAGCTTCTCCAGGTATTCATCGCCCTCTCCCTGTTGGATAGCGTAAATAATACTATCGACTAGTTCAGCGGCGTCTACAGTGATCGGCTCGTCGTCGATAGTGTCCTCCAAGCTTGCGCGCGCGGTTAAAAGTTCCTCCAGGTATTCATCGCCCTCTCCCTCTTGGACAGCGTAAATGATATTATCGACTAGTTCAGCGGCGTCGACAGTGACCGGCTCGTCGTCGATAGTGTCCTTCAAGCTCGCTTGCAGTAATAGCATGATATCACTGCTGAAAACGGAGATGTCCACGGGATTAGCCACGGGATTAGAAATCACGAGCTTGAGTTTGCCTGACTTGAGGGCCCAGTATAACTGCGTCCCCTGCAAGACGTGGTACAGGATCGCTTTCAAGGTCTCGAACTCCGGGCCATCCGGTTTACCACTTGCGAAATAAAGACAGTCAAAGAGTGGGGCATCGATGATTATACGGAAGGCGTCGAACCGAAGGGATTTTCTGACCTGTGCGTCAGGGAACGAAAGCGAGAGGTGGATAGAGTCGATGAATGCGGATGGAGGCCCAGCACCTTGGCCTGCACTCGCCTGGCGCACTTCAATAGAGGCTAATATATAACTGCCACACAATGAGACCATGTCGCCCTCACTTGGAGCGAGAGTAACATCCACCGCCTCTGACAAGAGACAGTTAGTACGAGCCCTAGTCTCTGAACTGATTAGGAGACATACTGAGCGATTTGTCCTCCGGTTGCCGCATTCCAACGCGTACAGCCTGAAATGTTCCGGGTGCCAATGCAAGCAGTGCATGCAGAACGGCGTCCCATGTGTGGGCGTCGAGGCCGACGCGAGTGGCAACCGAGAGGACGTCAGAGGCAAGTGCTACTTTCGTGGAAAACGGCATTCCCTCGCATTGATACGCTCGGCATATGACGAGAGATGATGAAGGTCTTCGCGGACTCCTGCGGGACTGGACGACCGATGATGAGTCGAGGAAGATCAGCCGGTCGCAAATGAGACGCTGGAGGGACGGAAAACTGTCAACGAGTAGTGCGAGCTCTGTCGCACTCGCAAACTGTAGCCCGCTGAGCACAAGTTCGGCGAGCCGCAGGCTGGAGGGTGGAGGTACCCTGGGCAACGAGCGGAACAGGTCCCGGTGGCCGATCGTTGGCTTAGGTCCATCCGCAGGGCTCTCGACGTAGCATTCGAACGACGTTTCTTGAAGTCGAGATGTCAGCCAGTGGACGTGATAGAGCCATGCCGGCTTCGTCGAAGCAACCTCTTGAAATATTGACACAAGCTGAATTGCGTCCGACAGAGACGACGTCCGAAATTGGGGACTGTCAACGACGTTCCGTAACATACGTACGTCTTCTGCGCTGCGCAAACTGAGTCTTGAGAAGAGGAGAGGTCTGATCGCCTCCGACCAGTGATTGCATACAAGGCTGGGCGCAGCGAGTCCACGCTTCAAATCCCGATATTCGCCCCTCGAGAACTCGAACTCGAACTCGCCGCCGCGCGCGCGGTTCTCCCTTTTGTCTGGAGGAGTGAGATAGTAGAGGATGCGGGAGAGCATCTCGGGAGGGAGGTCGGCTCCTGTGGTGTACTGCATCGTTGCGGAGGAGGACGATGGTGTTCGACTCTGCAATTCTGTGGGCATGCGAGAGGACGAGGTCAAGTACACAGCTGCACGGATGAGACTGTGGGGCTCAAGATCTGGCGGATTTTGTGATTCGGGGTATCGTGATCTTTGAGCGTTGGTTTTTGTCTGAGATTCGTCCCACCGAAATCATAATTCTGTCCAATGCGAAATACGCCCGATCCGAGATCTCCCCACCACAGTTTGGCGCCCATTTAGGCTCTATCCATGGACCGCAGCTACCTAGCCTAGTGATCCGCCTGGCCAGATATTTGACAACTGGGCCGGCCGACTCGGGCAGTCAAGCCTGCTTCATTCTCCTATGAGATCCCTACCGGCGCAAGGCCTCAGAGCACACGTCCGTTCGAGTTGCATTCCGTACTTAGAAGTCCACAATAAACGGCAAAAGACTACATTAGAACATATGTATGATCTCAGCTCAGGTAGTAAGCTGCAATAGATGCCGGAGTAACAGGCTACGGGGCGGAGAATAGCTCATCGTCAAGCTCGCTGGTACCTTCGCCCTTCATACATAGACAGGGCCGGAACGCTATCGTCGTTTGCTTCGGTGTCGGGGCTATCCGAGAGAGTCGAGTCTGCAAGGCGCATTT